TGTGACTCAAGGGGCCTCTAGGTAATTAGAAGTTTCCTGTGGTTTAGTATTAATACAGTAAAGACACTGTCTTCACTTAAAATTCTACACACACCCCAAAATACTTATACAAGCCACAAATGGTTAAATAAAAGTGCTAGAAGTATTCACTCATCCTAACACAGAGGTAAGTAGATATTTTTAATTGTTCAGACTGTAAAAACAACCATATAAAATTGTATCTGATTGATTTTTTTTTCTGTAATTTAACAGCCGTAAGATATATTTTGTCTACAAAGGTCAAAAAAAGTAAGGCTATCACCTTTCTACTAACTCAGGTGTGTCTTTAATACACTAAAAAATTGAACAATGTGCTAGAAAAAAAAAGCAGGATACAACAATTATGAAAAAGATGAAGACATCTTGAAGAAATCAAGATATTTCAATATCCAAAGCAATGAAAGAAAAGGGTAAGATGAGATAATGCATTTTGATATACAGAAAAAGAGGTCATGATGTAATAAAGACTCATTCTTAATCAGATCTGTTTATTTGACTCTGAAGGAAGGCGTGGAACAAGACATAAATCCAAAGGACTATTTATTTATCACTCAAAGACAATATGTGAAGGAGCTCACAAGAATGTTAGTATGATCCCTGTTCACCTCCACCACCTACCCATTCTCAAGAAAAATTTGGAAGCAGTATCAAACACCATTGCCTAATTTCAAAATATTCCTGGACCTCTTATTGATCAATATCTCTTAGAGAAAGAATGAGAGTATAGCATCTGAACTGCAACAGTACTATTAGAAAATGATACCGTGAGCATTAAGATATATAATTCATGTAGCTTTCATTTGCTCAGACCATTGTAAAAATCCATAAATCATTTTCTTGTTCATGTATTGCTTAAGTGCAATTTGTCATTTTGCATTAGAGGGCTGCTTCAGCTCATCAGTGCTTTTAATTCACTGTTTAGAGTTTAACAAAATGCTGGCCCTGTCTGATCACTTGAAATGTGAAGCCACACCAATGTTAACTAGGTTAAACAAAATAGAGAACATTTCTACCTTGAATAGCAAGTAAAACTTAATGGAATATCTAGCATTTTCCCCAAAAAGCATGCATTGGTTTGGGTTCAAAGCATTAGAACACACTAAAGAATTACCTGAATGCTTATTAATAGCATAGTCTATATCCCCCCCTCCCCCCCCCCCCCCCCATCGCCAGCCCACATTCACTCTTTACTGTGGATGAACAAAAGCTAACACAGTGCCGGTGGCATTGGCTCCAAAGCCTTGCCTTCTCACCTCTTAAGTTAGGTTACAGCGCTACAAATAAACCTCTTGCTTGGTTACCCTTCAGAGTTGCAATGCAGTCCAGGTCCTTTGCGTTTGCTCTCTGCACTCTCTTTGCTGGAAATGCCCTGGGCCATCTGGCTCAATTCTGGACGAACCTGACGTTTGAAAGACTCCTTATCGACAATTTTAATGTTTTGTCTTCCATTTCTTTAAAAAAAAAAAAGTCTTCTCTCAAAGCTCTGGGTACACTGCAATAACAAGAGGATTTAGAAACAAATTGCTTTCGAGTCAAGTTAAATCACTGCAAACACTCATTTATCCAAACACTGGTTAACAAACGCGTTTCCCTCCCGCCTTTTCTAGAAAAGGGTAGGGAAGAAAGCAACCCGGTTACCTAGTTTCAGAGTTTGGAACTACAAATATAAAACGCATTTGTGGGAGCCTTGGCGCCCCCTATTTCTGCTGCACTTCGCGCCCAATGTACACTGTCATTCTCATTCACCGACCAAGACTTTCATGAGTTGATTTTGATAACCTCCCTCCAAAAAATAACTACTTCCCCCTTCCGTTTCAGCCTGCAATTTGGCCCAGATGGTTGACACTTCTGAAGGGGACTTGGAGATTGGGGGGCAGGGTTATGTTAGCCAGGGATTGTTTTCCCTTGTCTCCCAGTGATGGGGTGTTCAGGGTTACAGTATTACATGAGATCCTGCATTTCAAAGAGGTCCTCAACCCACCACCGAGGCTATTTATATACCGGCCTCGCTGAATTCTCGTTCCACCAAAGGGAAAGTGAGAAAGAAAAAGGAAAAAGGGGGGGGGGGGCGTGCTTAATGGACACAGCAAGGGAGAAAATAAACCAGTTACACTGAAGAGACATTTCAAAGGGCAAATTTAAAGTGTTGTTTTGTTTTGTGGGTGACAGGGTAAGGCTGTTTCATGGTTTCAGGTTTAGGAGGCAGAGAAGACTATCAATGCCACTATCTGAATCTTGGTCCCTAGCAAAATGCTCTTGCAATTGCCCTTGGCTGGGTTACCCAGAGGGAGGCGGTTGGCCCCGACAGAAGACCTCGTCGTCACCCCGCCGGTTCCCGGGCGCCTCAGAGACTGTAAGTCAGAGAGGCGAGACCTCTAGAGGACCCCAGCCGGCGTCGCCGGCTCGGACACAGGCCTTTGCGACCCAAGAAATCCGGCAGAGCCCCCAACAGGCGAGCCCTGTCTAGAGAGAGCTCCGAGCAAATTTCTCTGGCTTGCCTTATGCTGCTTTTGCCGCTAGGAGGCGCTTGTAACCCACGTTTGCAGAGAGAGAGAGCCGGTTCAAACACAACTGCTACCGAAAAAAAAAAAAAAAAAAGAGCAGCTCAAGCGTTACAGTGGATGTAGTGATTATTTACAGGCAAATCTGGCCATCTCTCCACGTCCTCATCTCCACCTCTGGAAGCTCTCTGCCTCTCAGCGAACGCCCCAAATCTGCTCAAACTTCATCTGCATCTTGAGAACAAAAACCTCTTCCCCCGTTTCTGAATCTGCATTGTCATTCAGCCGCATGGCTCTCACACGCCAACACGCACGCACACGCGCGCACACACACAAGTGTTTTCATACGTGCAAATGAAAACATTAGAAAATTACCGTCACTTAAAAATAAATGCTCCTGGATTCTGATGAGTCAGCTTGAAGAGCTCAAAATATGTCATTTCAATCCTGCAGATCTAAAGAAAACGAAGGGGAGGGTGGGTAAAAGTACGGATGCACTGCCGTAATAATATTCAGATAAACTATAATCTCCTTTTCATTGATCCACAGGTCCTTTTGTAAAGTGCCGCTCCGTTCTCGGTCGCAAGACCTGACGCTAAAACCGTTTTAACTGCAGCGGTTTTCGCTTGGCTTTGGTCGGTCATCAATTTACTGCAGCTGGAAAAGGATTAGCCATTTTTGCTGGCATCTTTTCCTTCTAACCGCTCAAAGGCAGAACCCATCACCGCGAAAGAGCTGGGGGCGGGGGCGGGGGCGGGGGGCAGGGCAGGAGGCACGCACCCGCGGGACTGGCAGGGGCATGGCTCAGTCTGCAATCAATCCCATGGACACTCGCCCCCCTGAATTCCCTGCCAGGAGGGAATGGCAGCGTAGCTTGGGGTTGAGGAAATGAATCTCCTTTTCCCGCAGGTCGTGGCGGTGTTACTCTGGGGTCGTTCATTACCAGGAAGCCACAAGGGACCTTCGTATCCCCGGGCTTAAGAAGGAGACTGAACAGGGGCTGCTGTAGTGAATCAACAACCCCCTACCGCCCATTAATTAATATGAAACTGTGTTTTTAAAATATTTTCTTGGAGAATTGATACACAATCCTCTCTCTAGCACGGATGAGTTCGCGCTATATTTTAACTTCACGGAAGCTGGGCGCGTAGACGCGCCGCTTTGCCCCCGCACCTGGCGAGTGGACACTCGGAGCTGGCCAAGCGCATCCTTCGGGACCCAGGGTGGGGGTGGGGGTCCGGGGGGACTCTCGCAGGGCTGTGCGCGGTGGCCAGTGAGGACGGATGCGAGCCCCGGGAATGTGCCAGCGCGTTGGCTGATACCCGCAAAGGCACACACACGGGCCCCGCGTGTTCACCGCCCTGGTCCACCTCCCGCCCCCACCCACGCCTGAGTTCGCAGCCACCCTGCTGTCCTCATCCAGCGAGCGTGCAAAAATCGCGTGGCAAGAATTGGCGCCCGGGTCTAGCACGGAGGTGGGGGGCGGGGGAATCTTCAATTGTCAGAAATAAGGCAGAAAATAAATAGCCTGTGCGCGCCGCCGCCGCGTCGCACTTGGCGGGGAGAGGCGCTGGGCTATCGCAGGCGCCTGCAGCGCTCGGCGGTGCTCGTCTCTCGGAGCCCGATGCCACCAGTCGAGCGTTCGGCGGGATGGAGGCAGAGCTCAAATGAAACAGGATCCTCAGTCATTGCTCAAGCGCTCACAGATCAAACTAGGTCCCCGGGAGAATAATTTATTTGGTAAGAATACTGTGGGTCTGCAAGGAACACGGCAAGTGGTGAGTCTATGGAGTCTGCACGTCTAGAGGAGCGGCCAGCCCCGAACCCTTGGCGTGAATCCCACCTCCGACTGACACTCAACTGCTCTCCCACTGTTCCACGCGGCCCCTGCAGACCCTCACGCTCAGTTTGACACAGGCCACATTATATCCGGTTTTTAAATGTCCTGCCATCTCCGCCAGGGCTCCCTAATTAGGTAGCCGCCGGCGATGAATGGCCCACTGCAACTTTTCCCCGTTCTCGGTGATTTATTTCCACGATCAGTAGCAAGGAAAATACCTTAAAGGAAAAAGAATGTTAGCGTCATTGGAAACCCCGCTCCGGAGAGAGGATACTGCCACTGTTGTTGCTATTACGGTTTCGCAATTGCTGATGCAAACGGGGAAACCTCGCTATTCCCTCTCCATTACCTGCAGCTGGGGACCGGGAACTTTCCGCGGCACAGTCCCCTGCAAGCGCCTCGGGACCTGCCGGGCGGTTCTCTCTCTCACACTCACACTCACCGCGACCGCCTGGGCGCGGGTTCTATCCCGCCCCGCCCGGCTGCCAGGTGACGCGCCCACTTGACGGCCAGTGCAGCCAATTAGCAGCGGCTCGGTGGGTGGTGCTCCTCAGAGATTGGTTGGCAGAATGAGGGCGCTGCGCAAAAACACAGAAGCGTTGCGCTCGGAGCTCAGAAACTGCCAGCCGAGATCACAGGCTCTAAGGCTGAGGCAGGAGGAGGAAGAACTGGAAGAGGAGACAGGTTAGAGGGAAAGAGGCTTGGGAAGGAAACAGCAGAAAAGAAACTACTCATCACTCTTACAGAGAGGCAAATGACGGTGGAGATGAGGACGGAGAGAGACAAGACCATGAAAGCCAAAAAATACAAATAGAGCGAAAGAGGGGGAAAAAAAGATGCCAAGAACATCCATCCGGAGAAATGAAGAGAATGAAAGTTTTATGCTGCAGAGCCGTTATGTGCTTTTCCGGCACAAAATTCTCTCGCTGTTTTTAAGCCCTTTTGCATTTGCCCGCCGTTGACGTTAAGAGGCATGTTCAGCGGTGCCGGCAGCATCTCCTCTTCCTTCTCCTCTTCCTCTTCATCTTCCTCCTCCTCCTTTCCCTCCTCCTTCTCCTCCCATCAGCAGGAAGACAAACCGAGGACAGTGTTGAAATATCGAAATTTCCTCCTTGGGATTTGCCAGCGTCGCGTTGCGCCAAGACTGTCGGAATAAAGGACGCTGACTATTGTATTATTATTTTATTAATTGGTCAGTGGGAAGATTACAGATGAGGAAAGGGGACGCCTGTCACCCTTCCTGCGCTAAGATTGAAAAATGAGGCTGAATTGGGGGGAGCCCTAAAATGAAGCAAAAGGAATAAGATTTTTAAGGACAGAAAGCCACAGGAGCCCCCCACAAAGAGCACTTTTATTTGTATTTAAATTTTTTCTCGTGGTGGTGGGGGAGGTGGTTGGGTGGCTGGCTGGCTGCGGGAAGCTGCTTCCTTTCCCTTTGGAGATGATTGTGCTATTATTCTTTGCCTTGCTCTGGATGGTGGAAGGAGTGTTTTCCCAGCTTCACTACACGGTGCAGGAGGAGCAGGAACATGGCACTTTCGTGGGGAATATCGCGGAAGATCTGGGCCTGGACATTACAAAACTTTCGGCTCGCAGGTTTCAGACGGTGCCCAACTCGCGGACCCCATACTTGGACCTCAACCTGGAGACCGGGGTGCTGTATGTGAACGAGAAGATCGACCGCGAGCAAATCTGCAAGCAGAGCCCCTCCTGCGTCCTGCACCTGGAGGTGTTCCTGGAGAACCCCTTGGAGCTGTTCCGGGTGGAGATCGAAGTACTGGACATTAATGACAACCCCCCCTCCTTTCCGGAGCCGGACCTGACGGTGGAGATCTCTGAGAGCGCCACGCCGGGCACCCGCTTCCCCTTGGAGAGCGCATTCGACCCAGACGTGGGCACCAACTCCTTGCGCGACTACGAGATCACCCCCAACAGCTACTTCTCCCTGGACGTGCAGACCCAGGGAGATGGCAACCGATTCGCCGAGCTGGTGCTGGAGAAGCCGCTGGACCGAGAGCAGCAAGCGGTGCACCGCTACGTGCTGACCGCGGTGGACGGGGGAGGAGGGGGAGGAGGAGGTGAAGGCGGGGGAGGCGACGGGGGAGGGGGCCTGCCCCCCCAGCAGCAGCGCACCGGCACGGCCCTACTCACCATCCGAGTATTAGACTCCAACGACAATGTGCCCGCCTTCGACCAACCTGTCTACACTGTGTCCCTACCAGAGAACTCTCCGCCGGGCACGCTGGTGATCCAGCTCAACGCCACAGACCCAGATGAGGGCCAGAACGGCGAGGTCGTGTACTCCTTCAGCAGCCACATTTCGCCCCGGGCGCGGGAGCTCTTCGGACTCTCCCCGCGCACAGGCCGGCTGGAGGTGAGCGGCGAGCTGGACTATGAAGAGAGCCCAGTGTACCAAGTGTACGTACAAGCCAAGGACCTGGGCCCCAACGCCGTGCCGGCACACTGCAAGGTGCTCGTGCGAGTGCTGGATGCTAATGACAACGCGCCAGAGATCAGCTTCAGCACCGTGAAGGAGGCGGTGAGCGAGGGCGCGGCGCCGGGCACAGTGGTGGCTCTGTTCAGCGTGACCGACCGCGACTCAGAGGAGAATGGGCAGGTGCAGTGTGAGCTGCTAGGGGACGTGCCGTTCCGCCTCAAGTCTTCCTTCAAGAACTACTACACCATCGTGACTGAGGCCCCCCTGGACCGAGAGGCGGGGGACTCCTACACCCTGACCGTGGTGGCTCGGGACCGGGGCGAACCTTCGCTCTCCACCAGTAAATCGATCCAGGTGCAAGTGTCAGATGTGAATGACAACGCACCGCGGTTCAACCAGCCGGTCTACGACGTGTATGTGACCGAGAACAACGTTCCAGGCGCCTACATCTACGCCGTGAGCGCCACGGACCGCGACGAGGGCGCCAACGCCCAGCTAGCCTACTCGATCCTCGAGTGCCAGATCCAGGGCATGAGTGTCTTCACTTACGTCTCCATCAACTCCGAGAACGGCTACTTGTACGCCCTGCGCTCCTTCGACTACGAGCAGCTCAAGGACTTCAGCTTTCAGGTGGAAGCCCGGGACGCCGGCAGCCCCCAGGCGCTGGCTGGCAACGCCACGGTCAACATCCTCATCGTGGATCAGAACGACAACGCCCCTGCCATCGTGGCGCCCCTGCCAGGGCGCAACGGGACGCCAGCGCGGGAAGTGCTGCCCCGCTCGGCAGAGCCAGGTTACTTGCTGACTCGCGTGGCCGCGGTGGACGCGGACGACGGCGAGAACGCCCGGCTCACCTACAGCATTGTGCGGGGCAACGAAATGAACCTCTTCCGCATGGACTGGCGCACCGGGGAGCTCCGCACGGCGCGCCGGGTGCCGGCCAAGCGCGACCCCCAGCGGCCTTACGAGCTGGTGATCGAGGTGCGCGACCACGGGCAGCCGCCCCTGTCCTCCACCGCCACCCTGATGGTGCAGCTAGTGGATGGCGCTGCTGAGCCCCAGGGCGGGGGCGGGGGCGGGGGCGGGGGGTCCGGGGAGCACCAGCGCCCTAGCCGCTCTGGCGGCGGGGAGACCTCGCTGGACCTAACCCTCATCCTCATCATCGCTCTGGGCTCGGTGTCCTTCATCTTCCTGCTGGCCATGATCGTGCTGGCCGTGCGTTGCCAAAAGGAGAAGAAGCTCAACATCTACACGTGTCTGGCCAGCGACTGCTGCCTCTGCTGCTGCTGCTGTGGCGGCGGGGGCTCGACCTGCTGCGGCCGCCAAGCCAGGGCGCGCAAAAAGAAACTCAGCAAGTCGGACATCATGCTGGTGCAGAGCTCCAACGTACCCAGCAACCCGGCCCAGGTGCCGGTGGAGGAGTCCGGGGGCTTTGGCTCCCACCACCACAACCAGAATTACTGCTACCAGGTCTGCCTGACCCCTGAGTCCGCCAAGACCGACCTGATGTTCCTTAAGCCCTGCAGCCCTTCTCGGAGTACGGACACTGAGCACAACCCCTGCGGGGCCATCGTCACTGGCTACACAGACCAGCAGCCCGACATCATCTCCAACGGAAGCATTTTGTCCAACGAGGTAAGACTGAAGCGAAAGGACCACCATCTCTCATCTCCTCCATCTGAGAGCCTCCTCTAGCCCGGCCCTTGACCTCTCTGGTGCACTGTGTATTTAATTTTAGGATATTAGCTTATTTGTATCTTTGTGGGAGTAAGAAGCGTGGCGAGGGTGGTCACCCTCTTCCACCTCTTTGTGTGTAACCTAAACTTCGTGTGGTCCCTTATTTTCTGCCCTCCACCTCTTCACGTTTATTTTCATTTTCTACCCTGGGTGCTTTGCCACCTTGGACTTTCTTTCTTCCCTCTGGCATCTTTGCTTTAAAATTCTAACCCCCTCTCAGTCGTTTCCCTTCTCAGAAATCTGGGAGAGAAGGGGCAAGTGGGCGGGGACAGAGGGAAACGGGGCGGAGAAACTTGCTGGCACTGGCAAAGGTCTTTCTCTCTTTGCGTTTACCGCAGGCGTTAATAAAGTTAATTGTTTTGCCCTGTTTATCGATGCTTCCAGTCGCGTGTAAAAGTAAGCTATAGATTGTTTCACTTTGCACAGCTGTCTAAACTCGAATGCATGTTGTAGTGAATGAGTTATCAGATCACTGTCCCCTGAACTCGGGTTGCAGAGAAGCCTTCCGCTCTGTTCTGGACAGCATTTACAGACGCTCTTGAAGCCCAAGGCCCACACAGTGTGAATTTGAATGAAGTTGCTTTGGCACAAACCCCTGTAAGCGTAAACTAAGCGGAAGGCTTAAACAATTGTTGTCTTAAATATATCTTTTAGCTAATAATCACCTTCTTGCCACTGTTTTTGATAAATCACTGCTGTTGGCTTTCTTCATCAAAGAATTTGGCTTGTCAATTCTCATTTCTTCATAAAAGATGGAGAATTGGCAACGTTGGAAGGAGGGAGGGGAGAGGGAGAACAGAGTTGATTGATGTAAAAGAAAGTTGGGACCATAAGAGGTGTGTGGGTGGTGGAGGTGGGAGGAGGTTGCAGAGGGCCTTTGGAAGGGGGGCGATTTTGACGGAAGGGAGGGTTATGAACTCCTTTCTTGACAGGTTCTTTTATTTATTGAGTCTTAGATATTATTAACTGACTTTCATGAATATTTGTACAGCTCATTTGTATCTTAAGCACATTTTGAAAATAAACAACAAAATAATTCCATAAAACATCCAAACTTTTGCTTATTGAGCGTGCTGTTTTTCTTGTGTCAACCAGTATGCACCTAAACACTTTTTTAGGCCACTGGAAGAAAGACCACAGAGTATAACTAGGTTGACTCAATTAGAGACAGTAGTTTATGAGCCCTAGCTATAAGGTCAATTGCATTCTCTCCCTAAAAACACCCACACATTTAAAATTGGCCTTTGATATCTGCATTTTTTTAAACCTTTACTGAAAATCTAGAATGAAGTGTCTTTTCATATCTCCCCTCCCTTACCCAGCAATTGGTCTGAGATCTTAGGACAGCATGAAAATTCATAAACCTGTACACAATTAACTTAAGCTACAATTAGTTCCTAACCTCAGAAGCAGACTACTTAACCCTTAGCATTCAAAGGCTCTTGATTTATTTATTTTTTTCCTAGACTAAACACCAGAGAGCAGAGCTCAGCTATCTAGTTGACAGACCTCGCCGAGTTAACAGGTATGGACTCCTTTTTTTTTTCCCTTAGCTTGTGTATGGACAATCTACTACCTACTACAAGTAGGAATTAGTTACATTATTCAATATTAAAATATAAAGTATTTCCAGTTAGAGCAGGGCATAAATACTACTTACGTTGGATTTCCTACATAATACATTAAAATACGGGTATATTTTATTTATATACAAGTTACTAAATATATTTGAATATTTTGTCAGTTTCTCTCCTACACTGCTTCTAATGGCCTTCCTAATTGTTCCAGATGTATATACATATATATATATATATACCTGCTGTATAAAAATGATATAAACATAAACTAAGCTCCAATCCTAGAATATTGCCTAAACCTTACGTGCCTTAAAGGGCTCAAACTGACTGCTAATGCTCAATTTTAAAGGGTTAGACTTAAGCTTATGAAAACAAGCATTTTGCAGAAATAAAGCCAACTGAGAGGTCTATGAATCTGCAGCGCCACCGGTGACCATGTGGTGGCAGAAGAATGTTTTGTGTGTACCTTCACCTTTTTTATTCTAATATTCACATTTTTGTACTTCTAGTTCTGCATTCCAGGAAGCCGACATAGTAAGCTCTAAGGACAGTGGTCATGGAGACAGTGAGCAGGGAGATAGTGATCACGATGCCACCAACCGTGGCCAGTCAGCTGGTAAGTGTGATCAAAGGGCAATCTCAATGCTGACTTTTGTAGTTTTTTTTTTTTTTTAATCTAGAAAGGATGATGTTCTAGGTAGCTTTTTTTTTGGTAAATTTAATGTTGCTACCTCTACAGTAAAAGACTGTGTCATCCTATGTTGATAACTGTATACTCAAAGAAGATGATAAAAACTCATTGTTCCTGTAAAGAGTTCAAGTGAAATATGCATTGTGAAATATGATAGAATATGAAATATTTCTTCCTTATGGAATGTGCTTTAATGGAATTATATTGCATGCAAAGCGCCATAGATCTCACCTGGCCAGTCCCCAGTCTTCCGTCAATTAAGTTATTATTAGACTTGTTTGTGGATGAGGTAACTGAAGATGAATGAAATGGATTGACCTGTACAAGGTCACAAAAGGGTGAATGGATGACTGGGGACTAGAATCCACATCTCTTGCTTTCGAGACAGTGCATTTTGAATGCCACCAAGTAAAGAATGGGAGAATGAATGGTGATTCAAAGTCACAAGTAGGTTGAAAGCAGGATTTCCAACCCTGGGTTCTTAGGCCTCAAGACATTAGCAAACATGTGATAGTGTGTATTTTCTGAGGTGCATTAGGTTTCCTCGTATTTTCAACAGGGTCCATGAATAACCTGTCAAAAAGTTGGACTCTGTATATTTACTTATATGTGGGCTTAATGGTAGTCACAGATGGGGTTATAATAAGATACATATTTTTTGTTTTTATTTCATACATTTTACTTTAGTGTTTCTATATAAATTTAGCCTTTACTTGTCATAGATCCCTGATAACTCTAATTACTAATTAGTAAAGGAAACAATTAAGAGCAATAAAATACGTCCCTTAACAGAATGAAAATAATTTCAAGAAGTTTGGTTTTCTTTCCGTTTCATATGCACTTCCACTAAAAGGGTGCTTGTTAAATTTTTTGTTGTTGCTTTTTCTAGGTTTTGTGTTTCTCTGACACATACGAAAATGAAAAGTACAGTCAACTTTTGTAACTCCTAAAAGTGTCCATCATTGGACTGTCTCTGGGTTCAACTCTTGCTGGCGATTTGAGCTTTATTTTGGTTAATGACAGAAGCATAGAGTGATAGGGTCCTGGTTTCCAAGGTCACGTTGGTCCTCGAGAGCACCCATTCCTCAACACACTTGGTGGAACTCTGAATGGGGCTGAGGCAGTGTGTCAAAGGGCATACACGCCCCATGGTCGCCTGGCAGCAGCGGTCTTTGCAAGCCTAAGACTGGGCTAATGTGTGCTGTGTCTGAGGCTGCCTGAGCCTTGGGAAACACAGGCAGGAGGAGGGGGAAAGGCTGCTCAAGGGTCTCTTTATATTGCTGCAAGTCATTAATATGCAGACCTAATGAGACTTGAGAACTGCCAAGAATCCCCGGAGGTCCTTGCCCCTTGCGGGCCTTCACGCTAAGTGAACAGAGCTTCTATTTAGTGTCTGGGAACCTGACAACAAACCAGATCTTGCCAGAAGTTTATATTAGAGTACAAAGTCCCTTTCATTTTTGGCCTATATATGGCATATGACTTATTGTTATCTTTAAGAAGCTGCACATTTAGAATTGTGCATTCCTATTCTTTTCTCTGGGTGTCTAACTTAGCAGTTGGCCTTTCGAAACTTTTAAAACAAAATCTGTAATGTACAAAACAGAGTATCTGCTGCTGCATGCTTCCTGGCATGCATTTTATTCCTGTCTCACTCTGCCACTCTGGTTTTTTAGGTGGCACTCCGATCTCAATGAACATTTCAATTAGTTTAGTCCCTCAGACATAATGAGCTATAATAACCTAACTGAAGACAGAGACATGAATAAACATCTGCAAAAAGTACTAAATTTGGAAGATGGATGGGAATATGTTCCTGCCCATGTGCCTTCCCAGTAGCTATTTTATTTCGCAGGCACTCGCTGTTGCCATTTCGGCAATGTTTCTTTCAAATTGTTTGAGATGTCAAAGCATGGAAAGGGAAATTAAAATGCTAATTTGTGTTCTGGAAAACATTTTTACAAAGTAAGGCAGTTTTTCTTTTATTTTATTTTTTTATCAAAATGGCAATTTCCACCCCACCCCCCATCATTATGCCTTTAAACTTGTCAAAGTAGTACAGAATTTATAATCGGTGCATTTCATTAGCAGTTACAGGGTAGCCCCTACATACTGGGCACAAGAATCGCTGTTTGAGAATCAGAATAGCACACTTTTATTAAGAAGTAATCGCACCTTTGTGTGCTGAATTGCAGTCAGTTTCAATATGTCTAATTTTATTGTAAGAATGATTTTGAATGTTTTCTTTTTATGTATAAAACCCTAAGTGCATAGAATTAAAATGCATTTACTTAATGCTTTTTTCCAGTCAGACTAATGTTCTGTCCTATGAATCCCACACGAAACAGCTAAAATATTTTCTAAAAGTTAAGCCCATTTCAAGTAAATATGTACACCTGTTTCCTTTCCTTGAAAAGCCAGGGATTACTGATCTCCCAAAGTTGCAATATTTAAGAAGTATTCATAGCACATTTATTTTCAGGCTTAGGATATGAACACATTTCATACTAATAAGCAAATCTCACTCAGCTGGATTTTAAGGGGAAAAGGTTAAATTAGCAGGAAAAATAACTCTGGAAAGGTATAGATTCTGAATTCTCTCCTTTAGTTGCATTCCATATTGCTTTCCATGCACTATTTGGCTTACTGCTTCGCCTGTTTGGACTTCCTTACTTTTTCTTTATCCCCACTTTATTTTTCTCTGTTAACATTATTTAGATATGCCTTCTATTTCTTGTTCGATGAATAGTTTTCCTTTTTGTTCTTTCTCCCCGCCCCCCGCTTCTTGTCCCCTTTCTACGCCATTTGCAGTCACCAATCTTGTTCATAGAAGGGCTTTAAATACGGAGGCAGCTGCGCAGAGAACCACATAAGCTTTCTCAGTGCCCACTGCACCTGGCTCCATGTGTCAACCTCTTCGGCTTGACCACTGCCCCGGGGCACTCTTCTCTATAGCCTTGTCAAGGTGCTTTCGGGCTGTTTTCAGTGCGCTGTTGATGTATGGGTTGGATATGGCCAAAGTCCAAGGAGATGTGGTAAAGTCATGCATAAATCATCACGAGAAGCAAAACTGATTAATCACAGCTGAAATAGCCAAAGAAAGTCAAGGTGGATGTTAAAATAAATGTATTTTCAATTTTGTTTATTTGATCATTCGATTAAACGATAGGCTTTTTTTTTCTTATTTAGAATACTGATGCAACATTTTTTTGTTGTGTATTCTTAAACGTTTTGATATCATTGGAGGTACATCTAAGGAGATCCATTAAGTTGTAAGAAGTTTTCTTTTCTCATTTAAAATACTTATAATGTGCATACTAGGATTAATTATAAATTTATTTTCATAGTGGCTTCTTAAAAAATATATTGAAGAAGAGAAACCTAATCAGTGATTCTGTTATTGTTACTTGTTGTAGTTTATCTCAAAACGTCAAATTGCTCTTGTTAATTTTTTCAGTTATAAGGGGATTAGCTTCTAAATGTATTTGTTTCTTAACTAATTATTGTGATATTGATACATGTTGCATAGTCAAAATTTGGCTACACATTTAAAAATAAAGTGATTTGAATTATCAATATATTCAAACCAGTAGATAAATTATATCATGAAATGTGTTAAGTCATTGAATAACAACATCAACAAGAGAATCTTTGACTTACCATAAATATAAATTTTCCTTTTCAAACTCCAAGAACTTAGACACTGGCAAAGTTTTTGTCTTTATAAGTAAAATGAATTTATACTATTGTTTGCAAAATGTAATTAAGGTTTCTGGTGAAAATCTGAGCTACGACTTAATGTGGGGAGCTTTATATTTAGAAAAACATATAAGACATAATATTACGAGAAAATAGAGAAAAACATAAACCTTCTTAAAAATAGGTAGGGAAATTATAATAGACATGTTTTGAATTTATATGATTGAGTTATGTTGATAAATATATGACTCCAAACCACATTCTCCTAAAAATTATAACAAATATTATGATTATAGTTGATATCTCTCAGTTTTCCAATGTTACGTGGTTAAAGAAAGACTGGAAATTTCCTCAAAAAATTAAGTGTTGATTTTATTTAAAATGAACTTATCATGTTTTGGAACAAAAAAAAATACATTTTTTATGAAGGTTTGGTGCATGAGAAAGAAATGTACACACAATTTTGTATTATTACATTCATCAGAAAACAGTACAAATTAAATACATAAAATATTTTTTGAAATTACAATTTGTTCTCAGTGGTAATATCACTGTCACTGATTTTAAGGGACATGTTACTTGCAAATTACAAAAGACATATTTTAAAATTTGTCTAAATATATCCGTGCATAACAGGCAGTCTATCACGTCAGCTGTCATGCCTTGTAGAACAGATTCATTCTGAGAAGTGGAGAAAATAAATAAGTAGGAGACGAAATTGCAAGTAAAAATATATATATCAAGATATTTCTTAGAAACTACCATATTTTCAAAACTGAAGTTTGTTCTGTATTTTTCTCCAATACAACTCCTACAGGTATTGTAGTAAGGGCATTTGAATGAGGACAAAAATCAAATTACATTTATTTTCTTTTGGAACTTCAATTTGAGCCATTAAAAATTTTTCAGAGCAATGTGAATTTTAATATGTCATTTTACTATGTCACATGCTAAAATACCTGGCATTCCTGTGCATCATGTAATCATTTATCATAGCAAAACTTAAATATACCTCTGTTTATTTGGTCATTAAAATATATATTTAATAGAGCTAGTGATAAATGAAAAAAGATAAAATAATGTTAGTCTTTCAATGGACCAGTAATGGGAAAATTTTACTTGGTTCTCAAACTATATATTTAAAAAACAAAAACAAAAACAAAAAAACTCATTTTCAATAAGTGTTTCATTAGTTATTTTCTATTTATTGATGTACTATTCATATTATTTAAAAATTTATATTTCCCTTATGAGAAATGTATACGCTTGCTTTATCAGTAAAATATTTTCATGCATAATTTGTGACACCTTATCTTTCCTTCTAGTTATATAAAGCTGTGTGTGATTACCATAGGAATTCCACTTTAAAGGATAAGTTCATAAATTTCTCGAGAACATTATTTAAAAGTGTTGTTTTTTTTTCCCCCTCCTGTCAAGTAACATTCTTTCAACAGAAAAACTGTATCTTATTGTACCATTTTTCTTCTGATGCATGTGCTGTATGATCTGCTCAGGTTCTCAACTCATGAGGACTTGATTATATCATCTCAGGGAATTTTCACTGGCTGCTAATAATTTAAAGCGGCAGAACACTATACACTTCAAGAGAAGAAAATGGGCACAACTGAGTAAAAACTACCCATAAAAACAAGTTCTACTAAAAGTACCTCCTAACACAATCAGATAACATCTCCCTAACAAGGTTGAAAGACTACTTTATTAAAATTCTTCTGTGTGAGATGATCATATTCATAATTATAGGAATCCCTGAGTACAGGTCCTCAAAAGATGTGAAGTGTTGTTCATAGTCTTGTGGTATATTTAAGATAATATTTTTCAGTTATGCAATAAAAATTATATTAATTCTAAATTTTGTATTAGGTGCCCATCTTTATCAGGATACAATAATACAGTTGTATCTTAATAGTTCCATCAACTTCAAATTCAATATAACTTTAAATTCAATATAACTTAAATTTTTAAAAATGCTGAAAATAATTATACTTTTAATAATAGTTTCATCTATTTTTTTTTAAATCTCCCCCCCATTATAAATAGGGAGCATTTATAGTATAGTGTGTCAAAACGCAAATTTCTCTGGTTCTCTAGCTTCTACCTACCTGGAATATCAATAGGCATCAGGGCCATTCTTTTCCTGTGTGTTTGTTGTTTTTTTCCCTCTACATAGCTCCTTGTGGAAAGAGGATAAAGAACTGACCTCTGATGTCTAGGGAAACTCTACATGTTTTACATGCGGTTCTTAGCCTGGACCTTATCCGGGCTTCAGCTCACGTTTCTGTTCCTCAACAGTTCACTGATCAGTAATTTATTTGCAGGCTTATGCATGACAACTGTCAATGGAATGTTATAATCGAAGTTAGACTTTGCATGAGACACAGTTTAATTTAAATTTAAAAAGTCATTAGAAAGTGAGATTAATACGATAAGAAGCTTGGTGTTATTTCTTTAAACATACTGTACGTAATCCATGGGTCTTAATTCATGAATAACCTAGAGGATTAGTAATTTTAAAAAATTATTATTTTATTTTATATATACAGATGTTAACATATACATGCAAACAAGTAAATCAACATGTAATAAAATGCCATCAGGAATTTAAAAACTAAAACTTGCTCAAGAGCTTGATTCACTTATGATATTTATGGAAGAAATGATCAAGTGTGTTCATTAAATAAATATTACTCTGTTGGTTAAACAAACAAGAAAAATCCCATATAGACTAAGCATGCCTTCAAATTTCTTACATACAGACCAATCCTACTTCGCTTATTTCAAATTGACTGTGTTTAAAAATGTATTCAATAAGTGTGTTACTATGTTAAATGCAATTAACATTAAAATGCAATCTTGTCTTATGACTTGTTTTTCTGCATTAGTACTAATTACCAAAAAAGAATATCAAATTTTGATAGTATATAAAAATTGTTATGCTTTGTTTAAGAAACTGAATGAGCTTTCTTGAGCCATGACCAGATAATATGTGATAGTCTTGTCAATCTATGGGACACAATGAAACTTGAAGTTGGCATTTGAAATCTTGATACAGCAAATCCTCACATCAAGTCATTGATAGGTTCTGTGACAAGAATTATGGTAAACCAGTTATAGCATAGGCCAATTGAATAAAAAAGAGTTAAGTTCTTATGACACCTCATCAACATTACCATGAAATGATGAAACATTATTCGAGGATCTGCTGTATACTAGGATTAGTAAGCAAAGAGTTTGTGCCGACTAGGACCAGTGTTTTCCAATATAGAACAAGTAATAAGGTGTTTGTCAATAGTATCTGCTGCTGACTCCCTTTGCACTTGGTTACCTAGGTTTCACTAATTACAGTCATTTGTTCTGAATTTGTCTAAGGTGGTAAGTGATAAGTGGTTTGTAGAATATGGGCGACCAGAGTGTCACTGAGAATTGCCTTTTCGGAAGTAATTTCCTAGGGACCTAGGGAAGCATGTCCTTGGCCACTCATAAAATCTTACTTCATTCCTGTTACTTACGGGTTTATCAATACGTATGCCAGTTTTCTGTTGAATTTCACTTTTTGTTTCATGTTCAGATTTCATCATCCGAACACCAACTTTAGTGCTTCGCATATTTTTTCCAATTTTTGCTTCTAAGAAAGAAAACGTCAGATGATGTATCATCATTAGAGATTATGGAGCATGAAAACTTGACACTTGAGTGTTTTCTGGGATAAACTTCACCTGAGATTTTTTTTTAAAAAGCATTCTTTTTCTACTCACCATTTTCAAATCATTTTTTTTAAAACTTGAGAGCCAATCCATTGTCCCCAGTACCCCGAAGGGTTTAGAAACATCTATCTCAGAGGCCTCTTTGCCAGAAAGTCTCATCCCGACGAAATGATACACAGGGAGTTTCGGTCGCTGGCAGGTTGAGGCAGGAAAGCTGTGAAGCTGGGGGTCCCCCTTGGGCTGCCCGGCATCTGTCGCTGCCCCGCAGCTGGCCACGCCGGGAGTCCCACGTGTGCGGTCTCTTTCCTGCTCACAGGTATGGATCTCTTCTCCAACTGCACCGAGGAATGTAAAGCCCTGGGCCACTCAGATCGGTGCTGGATGCCTTCTTTCGTCCCTGCGGATGGCCGCCAGGCTGCCGATTACCGCAGCAACCTGCACGTGCCCGGCATGGACTCGGTGCCAGACGCCGAGGTGTTTGAAACGCCCGAGGCGCAGCCCGGGGCCGAGCGCTCCTTCTCCACCTTCGGCAAAGAGAAGGCCCTGCACAGCACTTTGGAGAGGAAGGAGCTGGACGGACTGCTGTCTACTACACGAGCGCCTTACAAACCACCATATTTGAGTAAGTATTCCATAAAAGGCTGCATCAAAGTGTTCCCTTTGCGGGAATAAAGTTGGACGTGTCGTTCGCAGTAAAAACAGAGTCAGGGTGTTTTCAGAAACAAGGGTGACGGCGACTCGGGCGCAGGCGGCGCTTGGCTGTGGAGAAGGATGAATAATACACTGAACAGGAAGACAGGTTTCTGTTAGGACATGGCTGTCGCCAGCCATCGAAAACACTGCTTTTGATGTTACTGAAAACATTTTTCAAAGGCTCTCCATATTCCCTTTGAATATTGCTCTCTTGCTTGCTTGAGGCCCATGCTTTCTGAAGGGCGTAATCAAGGTAGAAAAAGATCTTTTGACTTGAGTCGCTGAGAGATCTGATTTTCTTATCGATGTCAGCATTATTGCTTAATCACCCTCTGGCCATAGAGACAGCAAACACGTCATGCTAACTTCAGCCTTTACCTTGACCACTCAACATGGTTTAATAATAGGCTGGTGTAGATTCAAGTCTGATTCGAACCAAGGAACTGTGTAATGAAAGCCTGTCGATACAGCGCTATTTTTCATTCATTTAAAATAAGAGATTCTTCTAACGCTGCAACCTTGATAATTTCACTCATCTCTTTTCATTTGGGGACCATATTCTCTAAGTGGATTATTTGATACAAGCCCTGTGAAACATAAAAATGCTTTGAGATTCACTGTAGTATAGTTCCTCTGAGGATATTAGAAATGAAATTATAGTACTTATTGTCTACTACATAAGAATCTTTTTCCTTTTAGTTAATGGATAATTGCTACTGATAATTCAATATTTTGGTCAAACCATATAAACTAATATTTGATGAAGATAAAACTCATAACAACTCAAAAATTGATTTTTTTCTTATATAGCAAATCCATCATACATGATGTTTTTTTACTTTTATCTTCTAGTACAGAAAGAAAAAAAAACAAACAAACCTGGAGCCATAAGCTAGAAACAAAATGAGATAGATTGCAGATGAATCCTTTCTTTTATGACTTATGAAATGGGAGGAAAGTAGAAAAAGTACTTAAAGATAGAAGAACACTTATGTTAATCTTTGTGAATGTAAATGTGAAAGGAATGGATTAATGCATTGAGGACATGGCTACTACTCTGGCCGTTGATAATAAGAATAGACAAGTGTCATATAAAGGGTGGATCTGCCCTTGGTTACATACATTGTAATGGCAACAATGATCAAATCTTGGTTAATGAAGGATTAAGTTCAGCTCTTCAGATTATTTAGAAACACCATTATCCTAGCATGATAGGATTTTAGCATTTCAGAACCAAAGATTTGTGCCTTCCTATAAAAAACTTGTTTTTGATTTATTTTTTAAAGTTATAAAATATAAGGAAAACACAAATACTTAAGAAAAAGAAGTATTAAAATGTCTAACATAATAATGATGTAATTTGAATGCTAAATTCCTAAAGTTTAACTTGCACATCTACATACACCAGTGATTTAAAGTAGCCTAAAATCAAACTGAACAGACGAGGACTATGATGCAGTCTTTGCCCCTTAAACTGAATTCTAAATTTTAAATTTGTTTTGTTATCAAAAACCGAGCTTTTCCTAATTTTAAACAACATTCTCACTTTAAATTAAGAATATACATTATAGAGATACATTATCAATGATTTAAACACAAAAAGTCAAAGAGCATATGATTCAAAGTAATATAATTTCTAGTTCTAAATAAATACAAATATTTACTGTTGCTATATATGAATTGGTAAGTAAATTACATATAGTGAAAATAACCCGGTTCACTTTCTTTTACTCTTAGCACAAATTTTGAAGTTTTATTTATGTATAGAAGTGAACATTTAAACTTTTTCAAATGTCTTTCTCCACTTTCTAGTTTTTTCTTTTTAAAGTATCATAGTAGCAATTTTATTAATACAGATGTTAATGCTACATTTTTTAATGAAAATTTTTCTCATTCCTAAGAATATAGTGTTTCCATTTAGAAAGCTGATTTCAGGGATTATGAAATATGTCAGCAGTTATGTGTTTGCTACACATCATCAATGAATACATTTATTATTTTATCAAGAAAATCAGATTTGTTTGCATATTATCCAGATGTGTATTAGAATAAATTAGTTTTTAATAATTTATTTTTTCTGTTTAGCCAGTTCACATTGCTCAAAATTTAGGGTTTAGAATGAATTGTGACCTCAGTGAAAAACAAGTAAAACACTAGCTATTTTGTTTTTACTTATAGTGTCCTTGGTTTTTCCTATAGTTTTAGTCATGTCTGAATACTTGTTTAACTTCTACTGTTTCATGTCATTTTAGACTCACACAATTATCTTTAAAATTATATCATGACTCTGATGTAATAGGCATAGTCAATTTTATGGTTAACCTACTAGTGCAAACTGTGATCCAAAACCATTCCTGACCATTTTGCCTTCAAAATGCATGGTGATAGCTGTTAATAGTTGTATCATTTATCACTGGCAATGAAAATATCTTCATATTTTATATTGAAAAGCACATCCCTTATGTAATTTAAGAAGCTACAAATTAATACTACTTGCTTTTAATCAGAATGTTTAAATAATTATTGAGGTAGCAGTTTTTCTTTTGCTAAACATTCATTTAGTTATATAATGAGCATAATATATATTTTGATGTTCTGAACACTAGCTGTATATTTAGTTATTTTAGTAAAGTTCTAAAAAAAAAAAAAAAAGCCTAATGAGGCTACCACTGTCATTTATGAAATAACAGGGAAATAATGATATCCTTAATAATACAAGTGAGGTCATTGTCCATACCCCGAACTTTTCATTTCTATACCTCTGATTGCTAATGTTAAAGTGGAAAATTGCAAGAAACCAACTTTTACACAGAAGTACATGTATGCACATGTTAAAAAATTATATTTTGTGTTTTTAACAACATACCTAAATTCAGTCATTTTTTTTTTTTTTTTTTTTTAAAGAAAAGATTTATGAAGAGTATATGATACACTTAATGAAATGGAACTTATTTCCTTAATCAGGAGTAATTTTGAAACACATCTATTAATACTTCCTATGTTAGTTATGAGCTCTTTGTGATCATGCTCTGTCTTGTATTTGTTACAATGTTTTCATTTGCTAATACTCTGGTAAGGACCAAAGGACACAGAAAAACTGAGGGAAGAAACTTGAACATGTAGAATATGTTTATCATAAAATAAAATTGACACAGTGTTTAAATTTATCTTAAAATGGTAGTGAATTTTAGCTTAACCTCACCTTTCATTTTTATTAGAGTAATAAAAATACTAAAATGTTACTTTAACTTTTAGTAAAAGTTAATCATTGTTTTCAACATTTATTAAAATGAAACAAGAAAATATAGTCTCTGAAGTTTAGAAATAACCTATTTTTGTCATGATGAATTGAAGAATTTAGAATTAGTCATCTTATTTAAAATAATTTAGTCTCTCAAATGACACAGTAAGTTATGCATAAAACAATCTGGACTGTCTCCGCAAACGAAGAACAAAAATAATTAAAGAATATACTTGATAAAAGTTATTAGTATAATTTAGAAAAATCCAATAGTTAAAACAATATCTTTAATACTGTTTTTCAATCATTCTTGCTTAGGATTTTGGCTCCCATTTTGCACATAATCTCCTACGATTTTTGTCATTTAATAAGCATGTCTTTCAGTGAATAATCAGCCTAAACAATATAAAACTAAAGGTATAAGTATTGGAAAGTTGATTTTTTTTTTTTGTCAGTAAACATAGTCCCTAAGAACTGAAGACAATCATAAGATAATCAAAGAAACTTCATTTCAAATATATTTGTGAAAATCTTTCGTGTATTGAAGTCATACATTTATAAATTATCTAAAATAGAGTGAAAAGAACCCTACATTACATAATGTTAAAAATCTTAAATCCATGCCATGTCCTAGAATCACAGGACTCAGGTAACCACATATTAAAAGGCATCATGGTCCATCCTGCCTTCTTGTCATCCCCCACGTAGGCTAGTCCATGTTGGCCAAAATATCACGCCGGCTGTCTCCTGACCTAACTTTATTTCTGCCTACTTTTGAGCCTTTTTGAAATTTCAACCCTATTTATCTATGTCATAACATAAGAAAAGGTGTCAGGACTTCAAAGCATTGCATGGAAAATGGCTGACATTTCACCTAGACCCTGTTTTTAGTAAACTACATTGTGGGAAATTCATTGTGGGCATCTATATTAATCCTACAGAGCCCTTAAAGTTTTTATTTGATTGAAATTGTAGAGCACGTTTTGTGTAGTGACATCTCTTCTAATCCCTCATGATCTCAGTCGGTCTTTTGTATGTTCTTATAATATGTTAAACTCAATAGTGTGCCAAGACCCTATATATAATTCAAAATAAAACTTTCCTATTTATACACATTATCCTCATATTTAAAAACCCCTTTGTAGTGTTTTCTGTGAGATTTGTATATTCCTCTAATGTCATAAACATAACATCACTTTATCAAATATTGAAGTCCAAAAATAAGTATTTTTATACATGACCTCTTTATCATTCCTGTCTCATAGGTCCATACATCACTAAATGCTGTACATCTTATCCAGGTTTTTGTTCTTGTCCAGTAGATCCATTTATTTCTGTTCACTTGTTCTACAAGTTGTGCTACTTTTTTATAATTATCTATTTTGGAGATTTTTGTTCTCTCACTCTCCTTTATAGGTATATATCTAGATTTGTAAACTTAATTAATTTTCACTTTTTTAGTGTATCTCTTTGTGACCAATCTCTGGTCTTTGAATCACTCTAAACTTACTATTTTTCCGCTAAATTCTTTTTCTCAGGAATTAACAAATCATCTCTCATAATAAAAATAGTTTACTCTCCTCATCTCTGTAAGCAGGAACAAATAACTCAAGATCAAGAAAGTACCAACGCTAGTTCATATTTTCTCTATATCTACTGTAGAGTTTAATGTGCACTGAATTTTGATA